TTAATTAGTGGACAGGAAAAGATTTAATTCGTCCGATCTGGATCTGTCGAATCAAATCTCTACGTATCTGAACTGTACGGATAATCTGCCCGTGTATGGGACGCTATTAGCTTATATGTGCCGGTTCACACGGGCGGCAACGACGACGTTAAAACCTTAAAAATTACGGAGGTTGACTACGATGTCGAATTGCTAATTGAAGAGTTTCCCGTGTAATTCATCAAACGATTTGGGACTCATACGGAAGTAATTAAAAAAACTTTGCTTTGTCGTTCCTGAGATCTCCAAAATCGCGAGCAAATGCTCCTTTTAATGCACGAGCACTCACATAAGGATGAACCCAATAATTTATTGTCTTTTTACAAATGTAAAATTTGTATACGTAATACGCAAAGAAAACCCGTTGTTCCCAATCGACCTCCATGCCTGCACTAAAATTGCGTTGTGACGAAATAAATCTATCATAAAAATATGCGTCAAAATCCGCTCGTATGAACTGCTCCGAAAAAAATTGTCGCGTCACCGCACCGTTAAAAAAACGCTCGTGTGCACCGGTACTAAACAATCACGTTTATTTTTTGACTAGTTTTTTTCTGCGCATTCACCTCCCCGTACAAAATGCAGGGACAGGATCGTGATTTCCATTCCGGCAGAGTCTCAGGAAGTACCATCCGCTCGCAATTCGAGGGAATCTACGTAACAAACCTATTCACTTTTTAACATTTATCCAACAAAATATTCGTAAATTCTTTCAAAAGCTCCCCTGAAGGAATTTCCATTAATGACGTAAACATAAACACCTTATGGTACATTAGTAAATTTGTGCGTCGAATGTTGAATTTTGAAATCGAGGAAATTGACGGCGCAAATTTACGTTCTTCACTGTTGTGTTGACATAAATATGTGCGACATGCTTGTCTTATGGTTTCGATCCATTTCGTCGCAATCATGTGCGCTAATACGGCGAGGTCGGAAAAGTAAACCGTTGCTGCAACGCTGGAAAATCAGAAAACCATAAAAAGTTGGACGCAAGTTAGTCGTTAGTTATTTCGAAGTAATAAAAGTGTTATCCAGTACCGTCTACGTTTATTATCTCTTCTTCTTCGATCCTCATTGTTAATCCGTCGTAGGTAATCCATGATTATATACCCCGCACACTTCTTTGCGTTTTAAAAGTTGGGAAAACATGATGACACCGTTATAATTGCGGACTCGCTGAAGGGTCTTTAGATTCTTCGTGACCGGGTGGCAAATAACAGTGCAAAATTTGGATTAAAATTAAACCCAAAAAATAATTCTTGATGGGCAGAGTGTACAATGCTTCCAAGAACTCCAATAGAAATTGACGTCCGCTCACACTTCAAAAACGAAAGTTAGAAACTTGGGAAACAATCTCAGAAACCAAAAATATAGACTTCTCTAAATAATAATGGAAGGATGGAAGAAAAAGTCCAAGGCAAAAAGGACCCGATCGTCGAACAAAGTCGTGGGTAAAGAATGTGCGGCAATCGTACCGTAAGCATACAAGTCTCTCACACAAGGAACGCGGTCGACAAAGTACAGATAGCGCTTATGATTGCCAACACTACAACAGAACAAGGCACTTAAAGAAGAAGAACCTCTGCGATATTTAAATTGTACTATAAATTAAATCGTAATTACCTGCTCGTTGAGCTAGAATATTGAACCCCGACACTCCCGCCACTAACAGAATCCAATTTTCAAATGGGCTTATCAATGACTGCCACTCCAGCGTAACTACGTCCGATGCCCATGCAGCTCGGTAACATAACCCAGGAATCAGTTTTTGGGTTATACACTTCCACTGATGACAAATTGCTGCAACCATCATCTCCACCTACTACATATAGCAAGCCGTTAAGAGCCACTACTCCTGCATTGCGACGACAGAACGCCATGTCACGGATTGGTGTCCACTGAAACAATGAAAATAGGTACATTTTATTCCATCGATTTCTTGTTAATAGTGCAGACCCAATTTACGTGTATAGTGAATAATTACCTGATCTTTATTAACATCGTAAGCTTCCACCGATTTGCGTACTAATGGGCCATCGTGTCCTCCAACCGCGTATAGTATGCCATCCAACACGCCAACGCCTAAAAGAAAATTCCAGGGTGAAAAAAATACGCATTGGCAACAAGTAACTTTCCTCCTACCTGCACCACTTCTTCTAGAACACATGTCCGGCACAGCTCTCCAAATATCTCTATCAGGATTATAACATTCGACGGAACTTAAACATTGCCTAGACGCTCCGTCATATCCTCCAACCTAAATAAACAAAGGGAAAAATATCAATGTATACTTCCAAAAAAGTCCTTTAAGAGATTAGATAATAGATTAAAAAAAGCATTTCCCTAGTATAAAGAATAAGGCACTCACCGCATATAGTAGACCATTTAAGACACCCACACCAACACTGCTCCTTCTAGTCGACATGGAGGCGATGGCGCGCCATTTTTGAGTAACCATGTCGAAAACCTCAGCCGTATTAAGGCCGGTGGATCCATCAAAACCGCCTACAGCATAAATGTTATTATTCAAGACCGCCACACCCAACGTAGATCGGCGAGCTTCCATGCATTCACAATTGGTCCAAAGATCATGTGCAGCATCATACACGTCGACTGTCTTAACTCGAAGTGAACCGTTAAAGCCGCCAACCTGCAACCAAATATATTTCCTAAACAGGTGAATTGTTAGAGTTTTTGAGCATGACTCAGTAATAGAAATCGGCTATTTAAAATCAGCCGCAGGAAAATTCGTAGACACGTCTCTTCAATCCAAAAAGTTAAGAACATGACTAAGTAATACAAAGCATAGTGCTCGCCGATAGGCGATAGGCGGAACTTTATGTAATCGAATAATGCAACGTTTAACGGAAACTTCTTAAATATAAAATAAAATATGCGCGTATTATCAGTATAAGTATCAAGTTTGGAAAAAGTCTATTAGAGATGATTCCAGCGACTTGACTAGAGGCCGAAATGTCATATTTTCCAAAAGGTAGTTTATGAAACATTTATTGGAAATGATATTTGCTATACGAAGGATAAATCATGTCCGGGATACGCATTTTCATCATCAACCTTTTTCTAAATTTATCTTATTGCTCTTGATGGATTATGAATTTTAAATAAACTCTATTGGAAAAAGATAATTACGTTTACAAAGTTGTGACAAACTTGTACGAGCATGAAATAATCTATTCAAGAGGTATAATTGAAAATGTTCAAAACTTTTCTATATGTTGCTTCGATCTCTACAAAAGTTAGCGATGTATTTCACCTTTCGAAAAATATAGCTCTGAAAACACTGAATTTTTCCAAATGGAACGTCAAGCTAAACAGGCTTAAAGTTTCAGAAATGTCGAGCAAAAGACGGATCCGAAAGCTGCTATTTAATTTAACATGAAAAATTAAAATACACCCGATTTCGAATTTGTTTATCTCGGTCTGCGAAAGTTGTTTTGTTTGAAACAAGTTGGAACGCAAAACATGCTCTTGAAAATATTGCCGTTTAAACTGGGAACTTCTACAACATTGTCAACAATAAAAAAACTTAAATTGAACAGTCAAGTTAAGCTATGACTCAGCCAAAGGGCGATGAAGCAATTTATTACATGGTCATGTCGATATCGCATGAATATTTTCGAAAAGCTGAATTCAGTTGCTTACGGGGAACGAATGAGATTGGCGGTGCTTCGCTAACGGGATATATAAACCAATTTGGTGCAAAAAGGACAATTATCCTGCTTGTTAACAGCAGGATTAAAGTTTTCCATTTGTCGTTCATCTTCATTGTGTGTTTAAGTGTTGTGTGAGTTTAAGTGTAGTGCCTTTTGAAGATTAATAGGTATAAAATGGAGAACGAGCGCCAGTTTGCCGAAATCTGGTAAGAAGGATCTCGAATATATTAACCCTTAGTGTGAACCCCGAGTTTAGTTTTTCGAGGTTTCGATGACGTTTTTTTAGCTTCAATTGTTTTTCTTTCTTTTCTTAATTTCAATTAATTGGGCATTGAAATAAGTTACGATATACTAAAAACGTTTTTTTTTAGGCGGCACGATGCAGCGTTCGGTAAGTTTGCCATGCTTTTCCCTTGGTTGCCATGTAGTACACTTTTAAATTCATTTGCATTTCATGATATTGTAGCATGTAATATGTATTCGGCGAAGAACGACGAGGGATTTTCTGGATTCTGGATTGAGTAATTAAATTTTTTAAATTTAATTTAAAGTCAGATATTATACGTTATCAATTGCGGTTTCTCTACCAACTGTTTCTTTCTTCTAGAAAGAATACAGAGTGTTTATTTATGTAAAATTGGTCTAAGTCTGCCGTAAACTACATTTTTTATTGTTGTGGAAGATAAATTGCCTAATTTATTGAGGTGTCTTTCTGAGGATTATATGCCAAATTAAATGGTTCTGTATTGCCTTGTCAATATGAATGGTTCGATTTTTCAAAATTTTAAATCATTTTAACTGATATTTTCAACATTAACTAAACAGGTTTTGTACTACGACTGCTTTAATATAACTTTTCCAGCAAAAATGTAAAGTTACTATTATTCTGCTGTGAACTACAGCTTTTATTGTTGTCTAAGATAATTTGTGTAATTTACATATTGATGTTGCTTTTGTGTAGATTACATCCTAAATTGAACAATCCCTGTTTTCTCAACATGAATTGTTCGATTTTTTAATTTTAAATCATTTGAACTGATTTTTTCATCATTAACACTAGACGAGTCAAGTTTTCCACAGCAGACTGCTTTTCTCTGAACCTTTACAATTTAAATGTGAAATAGAGTAGTCTGTTAGGAATCACTTTTAATGTTATTCGATGTAAAAATATCAATTATTAGTGTTCTGCTTTAAAATTAAATATGTTCATGATAGCCCAGAATCCAGATCAATAAGCCTAAAGGTAGGTGGAACTTATTTATTGCTTTGTGATCGTCTAGCGAATAGCACCCTAAGTGGCTGCTCTTGACCTTCTTATTTAGCGATTATTTATGTCGAGCTATTTTTCCATCCTCTAAACTCTCTAGACAAATTATTACATTATTATTACAGTATTAATACAAACGGTTCGTGCCATTTCAGCAGCCAGGATCCGACCGACTATTACAGTCTTTTTTGCCGTCCATAGCCCTTCAAGCTGTATGTGGTTCAGATCAAGAAACTAATCAGACTTGCGGTTGTTCTTCTAAATTTCGTTGGAAATAGCGATTTACGTGTGGGTCAATACAAAAACCCTTTTTAAAAAAGGTCTTTATTAGAAGCAGGATACAAATGAACTGTTCTCGGTTTGTTTCGAGTTGTAACTGTAACCTCGGTACATGTTCTTATCTTTGCTTAGTGTTCGATTAATTTATGCTTACAATTCAAGTTGCAAGAATGTAACTAGCGTTGACTTTTTGAGACAAAAATTCGAGCTTTTAGAGAGATTTAGCGGTCTGGATCCGGACGGTAAATTATTTTTATAGTAGTAGTAGATGGCAACCAGGGTTGTAGTTTATATTTTGCAACATTTGGGCTGCTCGCATGTGCAGTTTGGCATAGCGGATTTTATGAAGCGACTTTCTCGGAGTCTACATTGCGGTTTTTGCCAAATGTATATTGCAATTTTTACTAATTATATTTCGCGGTATTTGGGTAGGTAATTATTATTGCGATTTCTGCGGACTTTACATAGCAGTTCTTTGGTAATGGAAGCGTCCTCTTGTTACGAACTCTCTGAACTACATATTAAAATTTTATTATATCATTTGGGTGCTTATTTTCCTAACTTTTCCAGGTACACAAGGTAACTTTTTTAAATGTCTCTATTTACTAAAAATAGTGTCTTCTTGCAGCTTTACACCGTTCATATTTCATGACTTTTCCACGTTAAAATTAACATTTCATTTGCTAATTTGCGTTGCATTTTAATGTTTTTCGATAGCTTGTAAAAAACGTGAAACTTGAAGTTTTATCAATTTCTCATCTTTACTCTTATCAGTCCTGATACCTTTGGATAAGTATAGAATTCAATTTGGAAAAACTGACGGTATTACATCCGTATTTAAATGAGTTCTTTATCGAAATTACACTAGTTTTTGTGAAATGCAGTTCACACTTTTGATCTAATATTGGATTGTAAATTTTTCTTTCAACACTATCAACTATTTGTCATTTGTAGATTGGTAGATCTCCCAATCTGCTATTAGAATTTGCATATGTATACTTACCGCGTACACTTTGCCTGCTAACACTGCTAAACCAGCTCGGCATCTCCTAGTTGGCATTTCAGCAACCTGATACCATCTTTCCTCTTTAAAGTCGTAACATTCGACACTCCTAATTGCCTTTGGAGCTTGACCACCCACTACAAGCAAAACTTTCGGTAGACCCACTGGTTGTCTAGGTTTAGTTCTGTAATAAATACGAATTTAATTGATAAGACATTAAAATAATGTAAAAAAGATTAAGAGCCAGACACATATCTTGAAAATGTATCAACAATTTCCACGAATTTTCGCTAAAACTTAGGGTCCAGCATATTTGCAATTTATATTCACCTTGGGGTGCGAAAAGTAGTTTTAGTATCTCCTTTCAATAAGTGAAACTTCAATGCTTCGATGTAATAGTCCTTGCACTGTAAATCCGCTTTCAAAAGAGGTTCTTCCTCCACTCTTTGCACCAGGTAGTCTTGCGACATCAAAGGTAATCGAACATGTTCCATTAAAGATGCCAAGTGTTTCTGACGGTTTGCAACATCATGATGAACCCATGCAATAACACATTCAAATACCTGCAAAATCGTAAGAGAAGGTTTATGCTAGATGTTAAGATATGATGTATTTAATACCTTTTCTTCAGATGGAACTGTCAGCAAATCGCTGCTGATAAGTTTTGCAACTTGCTGCTGAGACAATGCTAAAAACTCTTCACATTCAACAACCTCCCTAAAAATAAAATAAATTTCCCAATTCAACTGAGCAAATAAATTCAAAAGAACTTACGGGAAGTTTAATTCGACATAATTTTCAGCATTAGCAAGGAGATCAAGGCATCCATGCAAGTCAGCAAATGCCCGAATGCCTAAACAATTTGTAGGGTGCAACTGAGCCTGCAAAAAATCACAACATGCGTCTCTAACGTCTGTTAGCTGCAGTAAGTGAGCTGCTGGTAGCAAAACTTGTACATTTTCCTCTGTTACCTAAAAAACATATTTATAATATGTCGATGTTAAAATTATATTCTTGTATCTCACTTGTATTTCTGAGGTGTATGAGTATTCAACCAACAGTTCCAAAGCATAATTGTCGACCTCTTGAATAACAATTCGATCCTGTCTACTCTCCTCAAAACTTGAAAACATAGCGTAGAAATATGGGGAACATGCTGCCAAAACCATTTTATGCGCGGGTATTTCCACAGAATTGGCTATCAGGGTAACATCACACAACAGTTTCTGTCTGCAAGTATATAAAAAAATAATTTTAAAATTAACAAGATAACAGGCATAAGAATATTAATAAAATTAAGCTAGCACTTACTCTCTCATACAGTTCATTAATTCAAAGGCCTTTTGCGTGTGCAACGGATTCTTGTAGGGCCTCCGTTCTCTGTATGAAGTAGATTTTTGGCAATTTTGTGGGACATGTTTCTGGGAGCTTTCATCTAGTGAATTCTGACTGGCACATCTTGTTAACGTCAAGGTACTTGAAACAAAGATGTAACATAAAGAATCATATTAAGCGGAATAAAACCGTTCAATATCAGATAACAAATAGGAGATATACATAAGTGAGTCTCAATAAGCATTTATTTTTTTAGGATTTTCAGATGAATTTTAATGCATTGTGAATATATTGATGAAATGAAAAAAGTTGAACATTGCAGTGTAGTAATTCGAAATTCTGACTAAAATAAAACACCTGACTCTAAAAATGCTGAAAGTTTCATAAACATGGCTCAGACGCCTGATTTTTTCCAGCATGGTAAATCTTTGTCTTAAAATTAGTTAATATCCGCCGCATAACGAATATTTTGAGCCAACTGCGCTTTCTACTTGAATAATTCTCGTCTTCACAACTAAGTGATATTACAATTTGAAGTTTTCACCATCTTTACTACAAGACTGTTGACTCTAGAACAGGATTTCCCAAACTTTTTCGATAACGGAACACTTTCCGGAAGTTTCATAAAACAGTCGTAGAATGCTGATTTTTTCCAGTTAATTAGTTCAAAATTGGCAAATATAGTCACCGGAACGGAAATCGGCTCTTTCCTTTAAAAAATTGTGTCTTCTAAAATAAAACAAGTTGCAATTTGAAATTTTCTCTGTCTCATTTCTGCTGGACGACTCATTAAGGACGGACCGCTCAATGCAAAAAAAATTGCATCTTTTGAACTAAGGCAATTGGCAATCTGAATTTTTCACAATCTCTATTAGACACTTGACTAAATATTCTGAGAATTTCATAAAAATCACCCAAAATTCTGATTGTTGCCGGTTTATAATTCTGGGCTCAACATCGGTAAATATCTACTTCATAACGGATGTTTTTATTCAAATGCGCTCTCTCCTTTAGAAATGCAAGTCTTCCAAGCTAAAGCAAGTTGCAATGTAAATTTTGCACCAACTTTAGAAGACACCGGACTCTAAAGGTCCTAAAAGTTTCATAAAAATGGTCCCGAATACTGGTTTTTCTAAACTTGATTAAGTAGGGCTTGATTCAATTTGAGAATTGATTTGAATTTGATTCAATTGAGTCAACTGCGCTCTCTCCTTTAAAAATTTACAACTTTCAAATTACTGCAACTGGCACTTAAAATTTTAATTATCTTTAGAAGACACTTGACTCGAAAGATGTTAGAAGTTTCATAAAAATCACCTAGACTGCTGATTTTGCCAACTTAATAAATCTCGACTGATGATTGGTAAAAATCGGTCGCATTTTCAAATCAGGGATGTTTTTGAACAATTGCACTTTGAACCTTATTCAGAAGACACTTGACTCTAAAGATAGTAACACTTTTTCATTTCCATTTTCATAAAAATGCGCTTAAATATAAATCCAGGGTGTCCCGAAATTAGGTGGCCAAACTGAAACAGTGAAATCTGCTCTCAAAAATAATATTAATTTTTGAATGAACATTCATCGAATAATTCTCCATAACGGCGCTACGCCTTCTTGAAGAGGGGCCCAGTAGTAGGCTTTTTTGCAACTTATTTCTTAAAGGTTGAACTTGAAAACGTAAGTTTTAGGAACTTTAGTAATTTTGATACGCTGAATCTAGATCTGAAATTAAAACTGTCAGTAAATATGTCAGAATTTCATCATAGACATATAATTTGGAGGGGGGGGGGGGTAGAAGTACAAACAAGCTCTAACTTTTTTCTGATACTATAAATCAATCTTTTTTCTACAAATTGTGGAAATCTGAAGTATTTTACGAAAAAAAAGTACTCTTAATTTAATTCGCTCAGACGCACCGTTTACCAACTAAATGACTCAAAAAATATCACTGTTTCATAAAAATATTACTAATATCCCTAAATCCATTGTAAGCATTTTGACTTTTATCGAGTATGAAAAAACTAGTGAATGTCTTCGTGCAATTTTTTTGATTATTAAAAAAAAGAATACAGGATAAAACAAATAAAATATTGCACGAAGCCATACAACACATGATTTAATTTAAAACATATTTTCATATCGGAAGAATGACTCAAAAGCCACGATTGCATCCTTTCCATTATAAAAGGGTACATGATTTAAGAGCCAACGATTTTCCAGCACATACAAAATTTTGCCGTTGGATTCTAAGACATCAACATAATTTTTTCTGGTCGGATGAGGATAATACTTATTTTTGGAGCCACGAGAATTCGAGAGCTGTTCGAAAGGCAAACTTTGAACATATGTCCTATTTCAATGTATGAGCAGGTGTCAAATTTCTACATCATGATCTACAAGAATTCCAACAGGATATTCTTATAAGCATTCGGTTAGAAATGTTCTTCCGGCATGATGGGGATCCAACCCACTTTGGCGAACCTGTGAGAAATTGGCTAAACCAACATTTTCGAAGCAGGTGGATAGGTCGAGGTGGCCCAGTAAGCTGGCCAGCTCGATCGCCTGATCTAAATCCTTTGGATTATTATCTGCCTGTTAATATGTCCAATATTATTTATGCCACAAAAGTAGATAGCCCAGAAGAGCTTCTAAGGCGGATTTGCACGGTCGACAATCAAATAAAACAACCCCCTTTTGAAACTCTCCGTGCCACCCAACATACTAGGAAAAGGTTCAGAGTGTGCATTCCAGAAAATGGAAATTTGTTTGAATATTTACTGCAGTAAATTAGTGTCGATAATAATTTTAACTTTATTGTGATTTATTTTCCTTACTTCGTAAAGAAAAATAAACTGCAATAATATTAACTTAAAATATAAAATGTGTATGGATAGCAGTAATATTTTAAGTCATTTAGTTGGAAAATGGTGCGTCTGAGCGAAGTAAATTAAGAGTACCTTTTCTTCGTAAAATACTTAAGATTTTCACAATTTGCAGAAAAAAGATTGATTTATGGTCTCAGAAAAAGTGAGAAAAAGTGAGAGCTTTTTTTGTACCGCTTTAATTTCAGAACAAGATTCAGCATATCAGAATTAATACAGTTCCAAAAATTTACGTTTTAAAGTTCAACCGTTTAGAAATAATTTGCAAAAAACCCTACTACTGGGCCCCTCTTCAAGAAGGCGTAGCTCCGTTAAAGAGCATTTTTCGATACATGTTGATTTGAAAAATTAATATTTTTTAGAGCACATTTCACTGTTTCAGTTTGGCCACCTAATTTCGGGACACCCTTTATATGTAGGTATACATATAAAAAAATAAAAATATACTCCGCTCTCTACCTTAACAATGCCCATCTTTTTAACCAAAACTATCTCTAGAAAACAATTGACTATCAATGTTGAAAATCTCATAAAGTTTTGGTTCAATATTAGTTCTGATTCTGGGAAAGGATCCAGAATCGAGCAAGTTTTTATGACGATAATAAATACTTCAAATAATCAGACCAGTTTCATGAGAAAAAGTTCACAATATCTAGTTTACTGATGTGATATAATACTAATGAAAATTATTTAGTATAGAGGAGCATAATCAAATTGTAAACACATGAAATTCTTAGAGAATATCCAGAAGCTCACGCACGATTCAGTTGTTTACAAGTTACAAGCATCAGTGTACCAAAAAAAAACTGTAGTTACGTGGTAAAAGTTTGAACGCAGTAAGATGGGGTGTTTTCAATTACATATATCTAATATATCTGTAAAATCAAGTTGTATCTCTTGCATTGATGAAAAGAAAACAATGCAAAGTGATTAGAATACTAAACATTTGAATAACTATATCAACTTAGTAATATGTGCCTGGACTTTACTCAACACAAGCAGTAAACAGAAAATCCTCGGCAAATAAAACAGAGTGTGACTGTTAAATGCTCTCCTATTGTTTACTATTGATAGATATTATTTTGTTTCGTTACAACGCTTTCATTTTGCACTCACCTGCCCTGTCTTTCAAGACCATCTGGATTTTGTGGGTCCATTTTTTCAATAAAAGACCAACCAGAAAATGCGTGCTTGATTCAAACACTTCTAATACATAGTTTATTAATTTCTAAACACGCAGTGATAAAAGCCAGCTTTCAAAAGGTCAAAATAAACAATTATAATCAGGAGTTGGATGATTATTTTGCTGGTTTGCTAAATCAGATGACTTTCATACAACGATGCCAGATAAATGAAAAATTAATCCTCAACGGCCATCGGGCTGGAAATCCTCGAAGTCTACAATTTTGAAAATAGGTCCATCAGATATTTCCCGGTGATTATTACCTCTATTCAACATTAAATATTAATAAACTGTTATTGCTTGCAGTGAATAAAACAGAGAACAGTTTGAAAATTCTCAGTAGCCACGACAAAAGCTTATCTTTGGCATTCCGCATGCACGTAGTGAGAACTTTTTGCGCATATGCTGAGATCCTGTATTTGTATTTAGTTTTGGCTAATTTCATTTTCTTCAATGTTGAAATAGTTTTAAATTGTGTTCAAACAGTCATAATACGTATATAGAGGTAAAATAGTTAATTGCCAATATTTATTTAAAACACGCAGGCCCAATCTACAAAAAACTATGTAATCTATAGTTGGGTCGCTAAATACATAAGAGCACTATAAAGAGCAATTTGACAAAAAGACTAGTGGCAAACCAAGTGTGCGGTGATATAAAAGATAATGAGCAGATGAATAGGTCTGTGTTTTCCACTAGCACTTCCTGTCCATATGTTAGTTATTAACAATTTATTGCAAAAAACGCAATTTTTTGAATAAATATATCTTTGAAACTAATCGATCAATCGGAATGCCTCAAGGAGATTATTTGTAGATAATATAAATATCTACAAAATGAGATGTCGAACGCCTCTGTCGCAAAATTAGTTTCTGAGAAATTTAGAAAATTCCGGAAATTTTGACACTTTTTCGAAAATTCATAGCTCCGTATTTTTTTCGACCGGCCTGTATGCGTTACCATAAGTCCGATTATAATTTCAAAAAACGGTTTGAAAAGTTGGCATCTTGCACTACAAAACGTGCTTTTCCTTTTTTCGCTCAGATGCCTAAAAGCATGCTAAAAACCGTCGTAAAGTTCGCGAAAATCGGCCGAGCGCCCTCTCGCAGTTGAGTGAGTACAGTGAGTCTTTACCTCCTCATTTCCTCTTCTTTATCTATGCGTATTTCATAAAGTTGTTACCATGCTTGGGCCTCAGACGGACTTCGGACTGGACGGCCGGAGTCGGACCACTGGGTGTGACTTCTAGTATATTTTTATCTTGCAGACGCTCGATGAAGAAAAAATTCTTCAATTGCTTTAAAATATGTTAACTGCGAATTCCGATCGAAAAATAGTGCAAACAACTACATAGTTAACAAATCAGTATAAATAAGTTTACGTATAGTCCAGATTTGGCGCTCCAACTATATTTTATTCATACTGCCTTCTAAACGTATGACGTTTTCTTGTCAACACCACAGGCCAACACAGAATTGTCAACCGTCATAACCTCAAATTCTTGAATTATATTTTTTTCGTTTGTTTAAATACCCTTTTAATAAATTCAGGTGAATAAAAACTAATTTAAATCCTTAGAGTAGAATAAAATTACATAAAATAGCGCAAATAGTGAACCTCAACATGAAAACAGTCTTTCAAACTCTTGGCGCAGGTGTGGGGAGATTTAATTTGAAACCACTGTAATCAATTTCAGCCTCTGGATGAGATAAACATCTGTATTTTCTATTGTTTGCTATATGGATTAAACTACACGCTCCTCAGAATGACATTTCTGGAGCGGCAAGTTCAGTAAATATTTTAGCTGCATTTGCAAGTGACCTAGTATAGATATTTGAATATTGCCACATCCTAAAATGTACTCTCTAGCCAGTCCTGATGATGAATATAAAACGAAAGTTGATAGAATTATGGGAGAGAACACAGATTTATCGCGGGACTTAGAAAACTGGATGTCCAAGCTGCCTCAGAGCTTAAAATCCTTACCAATTATTTACTTAGCCATTCCAGGTCGGCAGCGGCACGGCACGCCTTAGAAATTATGTTATCAAATGAAGGTTTTTAGGAACTCACGACAGTTTCACTGCAAATATATCAAGTGCCAGCGATGTTTCTCTGGATGCTGAGAAAATTCTTCAGGACCTACATTGGGTTTTATGCGTTAAAGTTGTTATGGCCAATTGGACCAAAACTCAAAATTTAACAGTGAATCAACTACTAAAGGCTGGAATTAGGTAATGCTTGAATTCGCCTAAAACGTGGTTTTTCAAACGACAGTTCAGACTTTTCACTTTAGGAAATATAACAAGCAGTATGTATTTGCAACTTTGGATATGAAGTGTTTATCTTTCATTATTCATTCCCTGTTTGTTTCACTTCAAATAAAATGAATAAGATATTTGAAATTATATGTTTTTGATTCATGAAACTTGAATTACAAATCATCGTTTTATTTATCATAAAGGTACACGTAACTTCGTCACACTATACATACATAAAAATGTTTTAATTTGTGTTCTTGAAAAGTCAAATAACATTTTTTCTTTAAGCACATAAACACTTACTTATACTTACCATAAGAAATTTATGTTACATTAGACCTTCACTAGCACCACTGTTTTTATCAACATTTCAGATATTTTGATTTAAGAATCAGTTCAAAGAGAAACACAACTGATTTGTATTTTTGCCATGGACTCTATTCCTGCAAAGTGGAACCTGTTTTAAGAGAAATAAATACATTCTTGGAGACCCATATAGGGGAGGTAAGTCACAAAACTACTAGTAATGGAGTATTCTTTGATTAAATGAACGAAAAATGATTCAATCTAATTTTTAAACTGGTATTGTGTAACTTTTAAGTGTACAAAATATCCAAAAGTTGCAAATAAATACCTATCACAAAATAGGTGAATTACTATTTCACCAAATCTAAGCCATTAAATTATTTAAAATGTTATCCAGTTCGTCCGTATCTAGAGGGTAATCGTTCTGATTAGTTGATTCATTTTGCGTTTTTGGATTGCTATCAAAGATGCTTTCTTGAGTACTTGTCTGCCCAATATTTGCGAAGAATTTGTCAAATTCCAAGTCCACATTAAATAAGCATTTTACACCATCAGGTTGCTGCGTTTTAACTGCTTCATCAGGTTTTTCTGTTTTATCTTGAGAAGTTTGTGCTAATAGTGGAGCAAAGGTTTTGAGTGTTTTTTTAATATCGGCCAAGCGTCTCTTTACAATAATGCATTCATGTCCTACAGGATATTTACATGTGGTGTCCAAACACATAACCAGAGCTTCTGAGAGATTTATTTGCTGTAGCTCTAATTCCTTCGCACAGATTGGACACTTTTCTATCACCTGCAACAGATTAGCAATTCAACACAAAATGCGAAATATACCTAGCGTCTAAAATACGAAAGAATAAGGTTTCCTAACAGTTTGACGAATACGTTTGGAAATGAGGTTTTTATATTGAAGCATAATGCAGATTTGATAAACATAATATCTTCAAATTAGAGAAATAAATGACAGTAACATTTGCGAAATTGTTTATGTACTTCCAACCGTTTACAGTAACTTTTACTTGAATGTGGGGTATGTTCTATAAAATGTATGGCTAATCCGCGCTCATATTTTTAAATCTAAATGAAATTTTCTTTAGGATCAGTTTACTTTAACATCTCTCATTTTTGAGCATATTGTATATTAGTTATTGAAAATGATTCGATAAAAGATAAGTACATACATCCATTCTTATTTCGATATTTAGATTACTTGTTTATATTTTTTCACAACAAGACACATTTATCCGATAATTAGAAACAAGGTTATGTTTCACTTTGTCTTCCGTTTCGTCGACAGCTGCCACAAATAAAGCTATAAAATCTCAGCAATGCTGGACGGAGGTAAATGATTTTCTGACGCAATCAGAGAGTAACGATTGAGTTGGAATTTTATTTGGGGTTTACAATAAAATGCTATTTCAAATGTATTTTTTTATTTTATGCGGTTTTTTTCTAAATATATATTGTTTACGCTTACCTTTAGCTTAAATTACTTAATTTTTGCTTGTACTGGCTACTTTTCATCCATTATTAAAGATTTTCAAATCCGCTAACAAATGCGCATTTTTAAGTTAAACTTTCGAATTTTGAGCATTTTCTGTACCATTTTTAATAATAATCGGATATGTTTTTTAATTAACATTTCTAGTCAAAAGTTGGAATATTGGTCGTTCTGATCTCTATTAAACTTTCCAAAATGCTACGACAAACTAGACACAATGTGCTTACAAAATATATAATAATTTTGAATTAAAATATTAATCACTAACATTCATTATAAAGGTACATTTAATGTATTTGCGAATATTTTCATATCGGTCTGCAAACACGCATTTTCAAAGCTGAAACTTTTGGTTCTGTTTAATATCAGTTCATCAATCAAGGTTACATTAATTACAAATTAAAAAAAACAGACACATACAATCTAAAATAAGACTCTACTGTAGTGATATTTTTTTGTCTTAATTCAGAAAATATTTGTTAATTTGAACTATCAGTTAATGAAACAAAATGGTTTTTATTTTTTTATCTCTTAAACGAAGCAACATACGAAAAAAGCTAGTAACAAAAATTTTGTATTAAAAGTGGCTTATTCCACAAATAAAACAAAATTTTAAAAAAGTCAGTAGCGTAAATTTTTTTGGTCAAAGTATTGGGCAGGTTGTCGTTCGAGACGCCACTGGGCTTAATATTTTTTTACTAATTAGGGCCAAAATGATCCCCTTTCTTTTTTGTATTACTACTTGTAAATACTAATGTCAAATTTGAATAATATCCTCAAAAATTTTATGAAGTTATTTACGTTTGGTTTATTTTTTTTATTTCAACAAAGTGTATATTTAGGAAAAGTCAGCATTTCTGAATCTACACGTATGTAAACTTTTCGCCTTAAAGTTGAAGTAGCTGAAAGAATCACCTCCTGAGGTTTATCTCGTATATCACCGTGTATATTCAAAAAACATTTCAGTTTAAACAGTTTTTTTTTTAGTTTGATTTTAATTTGCTAAATTATTTTAACAAAATGCATCTTTTATTAGTTTTGTACGTACGTACACTTTTCTTATGCCGATATTTAACTATTAAAAAACCCATTGAAGTTTGAAATCACCATTATGTATTTTTCGTCCATAAAAATCATTACATTTCAGCACAGTTTACCAACGTCAGTATTAAACATTTATTCTGTAAAAATGTAAAAATTTAGGTCGTAATATTGGACTGCCAACACTTTTACGGATTCAATCAAGCCTCCCATAGCAAATTAATGCAATTCATTGTTAACACATTCGGCACTAAGCTGCTACCGTATTCAGACCATATGGACCATCTTTCTTTGGATTATATGACTTCCCAATTTAGATATCAGGTAAAACTATCATTCATGGATAGATAATTATCTGTAGAATCCATGTTATTCAGCTCATAGTAGTGTACAGATCAAATGCGGCTCATTTCGGTCAACCACTGCTCTGGCCTTCGGCTAGTTTTCCCACACCTTGGGCTGATACTATGGATCCAAATATTTTATTTAACTTTCTGGATGAGGGTATTGGGAATCGAACTGACCACGTTGGATTTATCACCCAATGCATTCTCACTCCCAGTCTGGCTGATATTCTTGGAAATATGTTCAGTAAGTTTAGCTACTTGCATGCTTAGTGAACATTGTTTTAGTAATAATAAACACTTGATATTTATATTTAATATATTCCTTTCAGCCACGTTGAAGCAAAAACTGGCCGTAGACTTTGAAGACCTAAGAACTGGGTGGATATCAAAACAAATACCCGGTAGAAGGGGAGTTAATATTATCATCGGGGACTTTGTAGACCTGGCTGATAATTTATTCACCAAATCTGTGATCAATTTGAATTTAAAACTTCTAAGTGACCTTCCAAAACGCCTGAACACTGTTATCAGCGTTGGCAGCGATAAAAAATTTTAAAATCAATGCAACTAGTTTTTAACAAATGCTCTCAGTATTTACATACCATATGTACTACTTATCAAAGAAATCTTGCCATATTTATTAATTGTAAACTCTGTGATTATTCCGACTCAACATTATAAATTGCATTAAAGTTGTTACTTGACAATCAAAACTTGGCTGAAACTGAAATTGATATTGTGATAAGTAGGTATTTCTAGTCAGATTTGCGAACATTCCAGTGCTTTTATGTAGGTATATTAACTGATTTTCTCAGTCAATTTATAAGCAAACGGTAAAAACACATCAGAATTTAATGGTGAAATTTGTAGTTTTTATTGATAATGTATTTGTATTTATTAGAAAGAATCTTCTAGGAATATGCAATTGAAAAAACGTGATGGATTTTGCCTGTTAGCATGTTCTTGCCGTTACCAAAACAAAAGTAGGTATTTCGTCTCCAGATATATTCTTAGATATAATAAACAAAATTCATCCATATGTAGGGGCAATTCACTTTTTGCAGACAATAAGAATGGTTTATAATCTGTTAGTGTACATATAACGTCCGCTGTTGTATTTTTATTTTAACTGCCTAGTGTTAAACTGAATTTCACTAGAAAATTTTAGTAGTAGTGTAGGTGTGCAACCAGTGTAAGAATTGGAACATATTTTGTTAACATCTCGCAAGTTGAGTTGTGAATTAGTATCAAGAAGTTTTTTATTCCCAAACTCTGGTCATATACAGGGTGTCTTAAATGCGCGACTAATAGGTAAGCGGGTGGTTTCTCAGGTCATTATGTGAAAAAAGTCCTATAACATGGGTCCTAAAATGCATCGTTTACAAAACAGAAAACGAAAGAGTGCTATACGCACAAATAAACAAAGCTAAGATACGATCAAAATTTAAAGGATAAAAAGTTGAATTTTTAGTGCCGTATCTGAGAAAAAAATGGAAATTAATTTTCATTTTAAGTCAGTGGTGAACAATTTTTGTTAATAAATTCGGCTCATGTGCTAATTAAGGCTAATTCAACTCCACATATTACTACAAATAATGCCACCAAATTTTGAAAAAGTGAAAAATTATGTTTCTAAAATCGAAAGTGAATTTATTGCAAAGATTAATTTCTATATTTCTGTTTTGGTCAAAAAATTAGCTGCGAATAGTTTCCCCCTAAGTCCATGAAGCGCTTTTTTTTAACACCTTGTATATAAGGAAAAAGGAAATATATTGACAATAACATCAACATCAAACTATGTACTTAAAGTCCCACTTGATATATTTTTTATATTAATTCAAATTATTTTAAAACATTCGCCCTGAAGTACATGAGCATAAATATATTTGCAATCAGCATATACAAAATGTTATCCGTTTTAATATATGTTATACTGCTAATATGCTATTTAATATATCATATTAAGTAATATTTATATTGTTTAATATGCCTTGAAATGGTCTTAAAAAAAACGTGCCTTACGCGGTTCGAATACTTTCTACAGTCATTATTGAGAAAACAAATCACAAGTTATATTGAAAGCTAAATACAGGCTGCTTAGTTTTAGTGCCATGTTTTTAAAACGGTTTGTTTGGATAAGTTAAAAAAAAAATTATTTACAGATAATAGATAGTTATCTACCTTGTTAATCATTAATAACAGCGGTGTATATTTTTTTATTTAATTTTGTCCCAAAACGAGCCTGTTTCCACGGCACTAGTAAAATTGATCATAATATAAATGAATATTCTTATCTCAATGATGGTGATGTTAACGGTAGATAGAAAACTAAACGTTTTCGGAATGTGGTATATTAAGCAAATGTATCCAAAATTACCCGTATAACTTCCAAAGCGCAATGAATATTATTAATTTACGGCCGTCATATGTTTATTAGTTATTGTGATACAATATAATATCCGAAAAATGGCTCGACTAAACTTAAATTAATTTGGTGATTACAAACTTAATCCCCATGCAACAGATTCAACAATCATTCAAACAATCTGAGATTTGTCCCTAATCCTAACTAATCTGTGTAATTGATTTTTGCTTAATGAAAAACGCAGATATCAACTTAAAGCGTTCCATTTTGTAAATTGCAGTCCGCTTAAGATATTTGCCGGTAATTCCAATCTGATTAGAAAAGATTTCCTAAATCCCCAATCATACAATTGATTACAAAAACCTTTGATAATCCTCGAAGGAAATGACTTGTAAATTCTCAATAAGTCAGCTCAGAAAGGATTGTCTGTAAAGCCTACTGAGCAATGTATTTTTTAACTAGTTAAATCAAAAAAGCTTAATCGATTGCTAAAAGAATATGTGCCACTTTTCTTATCAAAAACTTATCGTTCTTGTATACTTCTCCAATCCTTAAGGAGTAATTAATTACTTTACATATATTATTTTTTCGCCGGCCTATCTGCATGATATAAATAAGCTATCTATAAAAAGTAATTTACAGTACTCATTTGGCCTCAACTACCAGACAACAAAATGTTGAAAAGTTGTATTATCTTCGGGGTTATATGTGCGGGAATAAAAGCAGCCCCTCAAAATAAACCACTCAAATACAACATCGAAACAACGGATTTGGCAGTGGATTTGGAAAACTGGATGAGAAATTTGCCGGATGATCTCAAAGAAATACCTATTAACTTGCTGGCAATTCCAGGTCAGTTATAGTGTAGTGAAAAAGATTTGGTTGATAAAACGCTTGCTTGAATATAGGTTCCCACGATAGCTTTACCAAAGACATCACAGCTAGTTCGAGCGTTTCTCCGGATGGCGAGGAAATTTTAAAAAAGCTGGAATTTTTAAAGCTGGTCAAGCAAGTTATGGCTAATTGGTCAATAACTCAATCTGTGAATGTAACTGGACAACTACTAGCAGGCATTAGGTTTGACACGCTTCTTACAATTTATATATTCAGATGCAGAGTAAAAATGAGATTTAAGTAAAGCCTTCGTAAAGTGAATATCATCGAGTCAACGTCGGAATATATTTCTTATATTGACTTGGGCAAATTTTGTAGTTGATATAATTAATTGTTGAACAATCCATGTAATGAAAAGTCGATTTATTCGTAAAGATAATCTGGTTAATGAACTTGATATTGATATCGCCGGTTTACCGTTTTCATACATTTTTACGCAAAGCAACTCGCTCTTTCAGACTTTTGTCGTTTTCTTCATGGTAACAACATCTCCAAATGTTCTAATTTCAGTATCAAATTAATCTGCAATTTGGGCACTGTAGTAACAACAATTATCCTCCGGTAAACTGTAGACAGCAATATTGGGGCTACACAGCATTCTCACATAGTTTCGGAAGTTACAGATTGACCATTCATCTACATTCAAACAAATTCTTGTTCTAATTCAAACTTTATTGAAAGTTTATTATTTTTAAGAACTTGCTGCTCAGAATGAGATAATGAATTATACACTTTTTGAAATGTACTGAAGCGTTTTTGACTCTCTGTAATAGCAGTTACATAAAACGTGCATACCACGTTGATTATCTAGAATTCCATTGATCGAGTTTAGCAAATTCAAGTGTGTAGTTAAAGCAAACAATTGTCTACACGATATTTGTAATATGTAAATTGGAAGCCCACTCACAAGCAAATTTCCCATTAGAATTTTCAGGTTTAACAATTAGTATCAACTATTGTAGATTTTTTGATCTAAGAATTTGTCGCAATTATAACGACGAAATGCTGTATTTCTGCCATGGACTATATTCTACAAAAATAACTGACGTGATAAATGAGTTAGCCACTTTCCTAGATAACCACCCTGAAGAGGTAAACGAATGTTTCTTAAATAACTACATTTCTTGCAGCAAATAAAACATCTGATAATTGGAAATTGCGCTAAGTATTCCATTTTCTCGTTTTCTTCTTTCAAGGTTGTTATATTAGATTGTCAGCACTTTTACAATTTCACAACCACTACACACTCGGAAGTTGTTGAATACTTAACAGCGATATTCGGAGACAAGCTGATTCCATACCAGTCTAACATGTTCTCATTAACACTGGAAAATTTAGTAGCTGCCAGCAAGCAGGTATGAATTGTATCCATCTACTAAGGATTTTTTAATTAAAACAAAAGAAAATAAAGAGGAAGTAGGTGTGTAAGCACTGGACAAAATGCAATGAAACTGTCTAGTATTATGTGTATAATCCCATAATAAAGCGCACAAAATAAAAAATATTGTCACCAAATATCATGTTGAATATGAGATTTTTAAAAAACATTGAAACATTAAACATGCTAAAACCAGGGATTAAAAGTGAATTGCAAAATTTTATGGTTTAAAATATACTAAAATTAAATTGAAATAGTCTCAACAGGTCATATAGTTAAATGACCAGTAGTCATTTAATCCTTTGTTTTTAAATATGTAATGTTTCGTTGTTTTCTAAAAATCTAACTTTCAACGTTATAGTTGAGGATTTTTAACTGTTTTTACGTCCTTTCTTTTACGTGATTTGTTTGGTGTGGTGTACTTGGGGGGTTGATTTATAGACCGCGGCCTTAATGGTGACTTGGGTGTTAAAAGCGCTTGACCATATTTTTCAACCCCCAGATCAAATACACATAACACTAGTTAGTTTCATTGAATTTTTCAAATAGTTAAAGTCTTGTAGGTACTTGTTGTCTACAGAGACAGCACAACTCAATCAGCCAATACAGATTATTTATGGCCATCGAGCAGTTTTCCTACCCCATGGTATGATACAACCAACTCCACTTATCTACTTTCGAGCTTAGACACTGGTCTATCAAAAAGATCATCTAGTGTCGGATATATCAGTCAATTGCTTCTGACTCCGGGGGTTGATTTCATTATTGAACACGTTTTGAGTAAGTCTAAGACACTAATAGCTAAATTAGACAAAAACTGCTTTTTAAAGGTACGCTGAAGGAACAGTGTGCCGTTAAGTTCGAAAGCAAAAGAATGGAATGGATTGCAGAACAAACAGCCGGAACAGGTGGCGTTAATGTGGTCATTGTCGACTTTGTTGATTTAGCCGACAACGAATTTAGTAAAACCGTCATTAATTTAAACCTATATCTGGACACAGCAGAATTACGGCAAGTGTTCTTGTGGGGGACAATAAAAAACTTTTTTGGTAATCTTTTATGATTTTGCTGAATAAAAATTACATGTTATATTGAAACGAATAAGTAACCCAAACTTTAGGTACCTTAATGTTATTTTTTTCCAACGGAACCTGTATTTCTATCATTGGTTGGAACTCTCCAATCTTGTCCAACTTGCTCTTACAGTCTCCGTAAAATAAGATAATTTAAAATAAAATATATTTTGAAATATTGATGATAAATCCCATTTATTCATGAAATATGTATATATAGACAAGAAAATTGCCCAAGGGCACGTAGCTCGTGAAGTTGAATTTGCGGCTTAACTTACTACAATCACCGTAAACATTTATTTCTCCGATTTGCGATGGCGATTTCCTACCAGTGGGATGTAGGATTAACGTCGAACATATACGTTCTTAACATTCATTTTCGTATTCATTTTTCTGAAACTTTTTAAAGACTAAGTATAGTTTCCTAGATATTCGTCAAAAAGTGATTGATGAACTTAATTTTAACTTTAATCCTTAGAATCGTATTTCTACAGTTATCACTAAAGTGAAAACAACTATTTGATTAGAAAATGAAGTTTGATCTTCCATGCCTTCCTAAAATATTAAATATCTGTTCTCATTTACCTACAAAATTTTTTTTATTTTACTTGGTCGAAGCCTTAATTCTCAGACCTAATTTTGACAATTTTTTTCTTACAAAAATGAAAAATCTTTGTACGGAAAAGGAAAAAATTGCTGCGATTTTGACTCCGAACTGAAATCCGTTCACACAACTGTGGATCAATTCTAATATTTTCAAGGAACGTCTCGGTGTAGGATTGCTTGATAATACATGGCATTAAAAACTTTTTTTAAGTTAGTGAAAAGATGTATTAAACGTACACAACATGTTTGAAATCAGAAACATTCAAGAACAGCAGAGCACTATGGTTTTTATGTTATGGAAAATGCTACTTACAAAAGGTTTGGTTCGGCTGCTAATGCACTCTGAACTTTGTTCAATAAGGAGTTAGCTATTAGTGGAGTTTATGTATGAAACTGATATGTTTGCACAAGAATTTTCGACCTTCTTGTTATCAATTTCTGAAACTATTTGCATCACGTCTAGAAAAAAGTTACAATTAATAAGATTTTTCAGATTGACTGCAAAAATTGACCCTACTGAAAGCGTTTATCCGAACATCTTCATCATGATCTTGAAAATGTATCGTTGCAGTGGCAAGGATAAGTTCCCTGTGAGCTTTATATGTGTCATTTCGGAATTCTTCTGGAACATTGACGAATAGTTTTTCTAAGCAAATTAACGCAGCGATACGAACTGCTCGATTTGGATCATCCAACCTTTTTAAAACCTCTATAAAAGAAATGCCTCAAATCTCTGTTGAAAAAATATATATCATTACCTGGATAGATACTAATCAGATCATCGTTGCTCCAAATGTCTTTCTCTACACAATTTTTCTTGATTAAAGTTAAGCATTCAATCGATTTTTTCCTGCTTTCTTGTGAAGCATCTTCCAAGAGTGATAATAACAAAGGAATAAGCTTTTCAACCAGCGGTTTCAAATCAGCCGAAGAATTAAACAAGTTTATTCCCTTTACTGGAGCTATAGCATAGCTCAGGCAAGTCACTGCGATAGTTCTAATCGATTGCGCTATAGCTCCTGCATGCCAAATCAGAGATGGGACAAAAACACCTAGATAAGAAATATTTTAATACGTATAATTATAATATTATATATTAGTCAATTTTAATGAACTAGACTCAATTTAGAAACACTCGTATAAAAACATGGAATTTCCTTACCCAGAACAAGCTTTTCCATAAAAGGATTTACATTCTCCGCTTGACTGAAAAGTGCTTCTTTCTGACTGAATAAATCAGCCAACAAGTAAAAAGTCTTAAGCCTCAATTCCGCGTCACTGTCGGTGTCCAAAACTTCAATCAAAATATCTCCTATGACTTCCATACTTGCAGAAAATCCAGAGCCACAATATCTCAGCAAAGTTAAGAAGATACAAGCGTTATCGCTTGCCAGAGTCCAAAGTTTTGGTGCACAATTTATATGCATGAACAACTGGTTAGCAAATAACTCTTGCGGAGTCTTTGAAGTTCCCAGAGCTGCATGCAGTTCTGAATACAGTTGGGAGTTTATAATATTGAGATTGTCTGGATGGGCGAGGGCTATTAAAGATGTGACTATTTTAAAAAGACTGTATCCCATGTTTGCTTCTAAAGTCTCTTCGTCTGTATCTGTTCTTTGTATGTCATATTTGGACATTAACGCTCGTACACACTCCAAAAGTGCTAATTGAAAATGTTTCTGCAATTCGTTTGCGATGTAGGATTACGTAATTGACTAGAAAATGTTATTTTACCTTTCGACTGCAACAAATTTGATCTTCAGACAACACTTGGCTTAACGTTTCTAAACCTTTCGAGATTTCGGATTTTGGTGCTCCGGTAATAAGACCAGCTAAAACCTTTAAAGGCCCAAAGTGGCACTCATTTTCTATGACTGGGATAATTAATTTTGACCATGTTTCATAGGTCACAAACACACTAAATAAAACGTAAGCTGCATTGGGATTAAACAAAGATTGAACAAAAACATACCCGATAATTTTACTGGCTTCAACAATATTCTCCACCACTCTTTTATCATCATCAGTAGCTGCGGAATACATTGCGGGTAAAAGTGATTGAGGATTGTATTTATTTTCCCCATGCAGCACTAAAGAGCATAGGAGTTGACTGCATCTCACTCTCACGTCTTCTTGCCAACTCAAGAGTTCATTTGATACCGCACCAGCTATTTTGTCTATATTTCTTTGAACTAATACTCGGCAGCCTAAACTTGGCCGTTGAAGATGTGTCGGGTATCCACATGGGGTGTCTGGAAGAAACGGATCAATAATTTTTTTGTCAAAAAGGAGTCAGAACTCAGGATTTTATTATAGAGAGCAATAAAAGCAGAATTATTCTACTTTGCAGTAGTTATTGTAGAGCTCATTCTCTTCTTTGCATTCTGAAACTGAGACTAAAAAAAAAAGAAAACATTAAAGGGATGCTACAGAATCACCAAAAAAATAAATGAAACAATTTCCCCAAAAATGTTAACTGAAACTTAATAAGCCTTAAATTTTAGTTTACCAAATCTAATTTCCATCGCAAATGTTTTTCTTTTAAGCTGAAAATTTCAGTTTTCAGCTGTTGGATCTAGTTTTTGTACATGATTGGTAATGCCAATCAATCAAAATTTTCGTTTAAAATGTACAAGGGGGGGAATTTCAAGATTTTCGGCTGTTGGATTTACATAATTAGCGATGCCAATTAATGTACATTAAGTCAATCTTAAATTTTTCTTCGGGAACTTTCTCCCCGTGTGAAAAACTCTTCTATAGACTCTAAAAAATATGTTCTTTTATAGACTCCAAAAAATTATTATAAACAAAAATCTTAGAGAAACTGAAAAAATGAGTGAAATAAAGATCATAATTTGGCATGTAACGACCATAATCATTGAATTTTGTTTTAAATTATACATATATTTTTTCGAGCTGCTGAATCCAGTAGTGCCCTTTTTTTTGTCTACGTAGCAGTAAAAAAAAGTAAGTAAAAGCAAAGCGAAAACCCTCAAAAAGCTTGAAAATTTTGTGAAAAAAAGCAGATAATTTTCTTACAACCTTGAAAGTCAATGAGAAAATCAGTCATTTTTTTCATTCCGAAATTTAGACCCGTTTTTAGACGGATGAACAAATTAACATGTTTTCTTTATATAAAATCAATTAGAAGCAAGGTTCTTTGAGACACATGATGTCTAAATCGACTTTAAAAATACAATTCTTTTTTGCGCAGTTTTTAGAGCCTATAGAATATGTTTTTAACCGGAAAAAAAGTCTTAGAAGATAAAAAAATTAAGGTCCGTCCTAATGTGCATTGATTACCATTAATTAAACTGCTAATATAAAAATTATTTTTTTAAATGGACATTCTCCCGTGTTTGCTCATTTCTTTCGACTTATCGCTTGAAAATTCTAAAAAACCAATATATTTTTGTTCAGAAGTTATAATACAGTGGCACTTAAAATATTCAGAACTACCTATTTGATTAAATTATCTTTCTGCTATCATAGGAAGTAGTCAGAGCGGCAGAAAACAAGTTAAAACTGACAAACAATTAAAATTGAAAAAAAAATTTTACATTTAAAAAACGTTTATTTTACCTGTTAGAAAGTCCAGAATGTCCTTAAAGTCTTTTTCGCTTTCTTGTTGAAACTGCTGTCCTACTTTTTGCCATAAAGCATGAGCTTGAATTCTAGTGGCTTCCACTTCATCACACAGGCCAGTTAAAAGGAGCGGGAGCATTTTCTGAAAGTAAGAATATCGGTCTCTGTGATTCAATAACCAATAGCCGGCCACTTCAGCAACAGCCTGCCTAACTGCAGGAACTTGATCAAACAGTTTTTGAGCCATGGGGATCACTGCTTCATTTAGTCCTGGAACAAATAATGGTTGAAATAAACATACCAAAAAGGTAAATAAAGATCCGGAATATTACCATCACCAGTGCAATGCATTACAATTTCTCCAACTGCATGAATGGCTTCCACACGAATCTTGAACCTTTGATGTGAAAAACACGATAAGACCGGCTTTAGTAAGGTTTGCGCTTGCATGTGGAAATCCTTTGGCAGGGCTTTGGATAGGGATATTATTGTACGACAGCTAAGGTCCTTAATAGAGGGATATTTGTCTTTAATAGTTTCTGCCAAGATGCTAACGCAATCATTCAAGAAAGGTCTGAGCTCTTCGCAATTGGAATACTTGAAAATTATTTTATTTAGCAATGCCAGCATGTTCAATCTGATCTCTTCAGATTCCTCCACCAACTCAGGAGAACCGATCCTTTCCACTAATATAGGAAACACATAAGTGAGATAAAAGTCACTTAGTGGATATTTGTCCAGTATGAGAAAGGCGACAAATTGAACTGCTTCTTCTCGGACAGCCTCGGAAGGATCTCGCAGACCATTGAGGAAATATACATGGGTTTGAGTGAAAATGTCTCGAAGTTCCTGCTCAGCTAATGGACTATTTAGGAACTTTTTCAAATCCAGAAAACATTTTCTTCTGATGAACTTATCATTGCTTTGAAGACTTGCACAGATTTGCTTCACTTGGCTTGCTTTGTCCATACTATTAGCCCTTGAATTATCCATCAGACTAAAAACATTAGCAATTAACTCTGACATTCATTAATTTGAGGCAAATAAATTGATATTACCATAACAACACAAACAGGGTGAGCAGTCTATAGAGCAAGACTTATACCAGACGGACCCATGATACAATAATACATTGGATATTCCCAGGGGGGATATTTTGAGGATCCTATATTTTGTGCGGTAGGACATAAACAACCCCAAGACTAAGGTTATGGCGCGATCATATAGTTTGATAATCAGTGGGCGCGATTCTAGTTACCAGTTTTTCTTTACATTTTGGATCGAATGTTGTTAATGGTTTTTTAAATGGCCACAAAATGTGGAATAATGGGCGTAATCATATTATATTTTTTTTATAATTATTTTTATATATTTTTTTTACTCAGACCAAGTTGGAAGAAAAGAATGAAGCGGTGTGTGGGACTTAACCTAATTTACATCTTTGTTTTTRCGCGACTTAACCTAATTACACGTACCGGCTAGTTTTAAATTTAAAAAGATAATGGAAAAAGAGGATTTGCCAGAAACCATCAACATTGCAACGCTTTATAAATATACCACCGAATATAATGCAGACTCTGTTGAATGGTGTCCTCACGATCCTTGTAAGCATTTGTTTGTGTGTGGGACTTACCAATTAATAGAACACAAAGGTAAGACAACTGTTCATTATTGCAGCCATTTCAATTTAGTAAGATCCATCTTGCAGACAATAAGACGAGTAAACGAGTGGGTTGCATTTTACTATTCTCTGTCAGTCGTAATGGTTTAGAACTGCAGCAAAAGCTTGATACCCCAGCTGTTTTGGACCAAAAGTGGTGTCCGAACCCAATTGGAGGCCTTACTATATTAGGAGTAGCTAATGCAGAACGCAGTCTTGCGTTATACCAGATAGAAAATAATCAACTGAAATTTCTAACAAAGTTTGTCTTCCTTGACGATGATACAGAAACACTGATTTTGTCCCTTGATTGGTCAACTAATAAATATAGTTGCCAACAGCCCCATATAGCTTGTAGTGATTCTAAGGGAAATATTCATTTGTTGCAACTGGTGGAAAATGAACTGGTTTTGGAGCAGACTTTTCATGGCCATGAGTTTCAAGCCTGGATAACTGGGTTTTACTATTGGGATCCTAATATATTTTTTAGTGGCGGTGATGATTCCCTTATGTTGTTATTCGACAAAAGATGTGGAACTTCTCCCTTAAAAAAAATTCGTTATGATGCAGGTGTAACGGCGTTGCATTCCAATAAGTCTCATGAATACATAATAGCAGCAGGAAGGTTGGTTGATAATTACCCTAAAAATTGATTGTTCCTAGTGGCTTGTGGTATTTCAGTTATGATGAGCAAGTAAAATTGTTGGATACTCGCACCTGTAAGCCCATAGACAGCGTTCGAATGCCAGGGCCTCTATGGCGGCTAAAGTGGGATCCTTTCGTTCAAACACATCTGATAGCATCGTGTATGCTAGGAGGTGTACATATTATTAATACGGATCAGTGCAATAGTATGAGTATTATTGACAGTTACTACGAGCATGAAAATATTGCATATGGGGGAGACTGGTCTTTCCTAGATAGCTGTGAAGTGGATAAATTTGATCACAAAGGTAATCTTGTTTTTGCGTCTTGTTCCTTTTATGATAATTTGTTATGTGTATCGAAGTGTGCAGTTGATTTGCAAAGAGAGTAAACATATTTTAAAGAAGTGGTCAGTTATTACGCCCCTTTAGTTGCAATAACTAAACATTTGCACTGTCCATCCTAAAACCTCCTGTTCGCCAAATAATGTTAAAGAGTTGTGATGCAATAACCAGAAAAATGCATTTTTTTCTAAATGTAGAAATTTTTTGAATCTTTGCATAAGTTTAATAAAATTCCACATGTTTTCACAAACGCTTCATTACTAATCAACAAAGTTGTAAGTATTAAAGTTCTGAACGTTCTCTCTAAATGCTACAATGTTTAAGATGTTTGTCCAAGATTTCCAATACATCAAGCACTCCTAGCACTTAGTTGTAAACAGTAGATACAGAATGGCCGAACTTCTGGAGTGCTTCAGTTGAAAATATAGAATCAAAAATGTAAATTTTTTTAAAATTCCATGGTTTTATATCTATAAATAGGTATGTAAATAAACGTAATTAGTTTTCGTATTGGGAATGAATGAAGAGTGGTTTGGAGTCCACTGTAAATTTAGTTAACATATGCGACGCGTTTCGGTTATTTATAATATACAGGGTGGCAATTTTCTGAATCTTTGTATTCTTCTAACTTCTACATTTTTAAAGATAGAGAATCCGCTAAATGGGCAGTTTAACCGAATCCGTTAAATGGTTAAACTGCTTAACTTAGAAAAAAAGTTAAAACTGCCCTTAGGACAACTTTTTGCGTTGAATCAAATAAACTAGCACTCTTTATCATAGTCAACTTGATTTACGAGATAAAAAATAAACTTATGGTTTTTTAAATGGTAATCATAGTTGGCTGGCGGCCTATTAAAATCCTTATTTTTTTCTGAATTTAACGATATAATTGTTTGTATGTTTTTCTCTAAATTTGGAAAACGGTAATGAATAGGCATTCGAATTCTGCCCAATTTTGCCCATTTAACGGATTCTCCATCATTAGAAATGTGGATGTTACCCATACAAAGATTCAGAAAATGGCCACCCTGTATAACCATCATCAGGTAGCAGCACCTGAAAATACATAAGGAGTCAGTTGGGTGAACTTAGAGTGAAATGCAAGTTAAGTTATTCTAAAATTATCCCTAAAACTGCGTCAACGGAATTACAAGTGGAAAAAAGCTTCTGTTCGAAACAGCAAAACGCGTCGTGTATGTTAAATAAATGTATAGAGGACTTCATTCATTCACCCAATATGTTATCAAGCCACTACCTACCTCGGATTCAAGCAAAATTTGATATAATTAGCTTTGCTTAAATGTCTTTGCTTTGTTAGGCTTTACCACAGGTTACGAACCTCTAAAAATATAAAGCAAAAATATTAAATTTTAAGAGGCTGCCGAAGTGTAAGAATTAATTCGTCGGAAACGGTTAAAAAATTCTGAAATGTAATTTAAACATTTTCGATAGAATGTCTCAGGAACAGTTTTTCAATTGTGCTTTATAACGTATGTCTAAACTCATAATTCGTAAAAACCGAAAGTACTTTAAAGAATTTGAGATAGATAGGTAGATACAAATTTATTAAACATTTACATTGGTATAGGCACAAACAAAGTAACAACGTATTGACCAGTATCTCATGTATGTTCGTCCGGTTGCTCTCTTTGCCCATGATCTAAATAGGCGCTAGCCCTAAACATGGACATTCCCGAGCTAGCCATACGCACGACAACGTCAGGAGATAATCTTGAGTGGCGATTTTGGTTTTATTCGAGAGGGATTATACATATATACATTATATATATTGTATAAATAAGGAAAAATATATAGGCAATAAGGAAAAACAATCTTCCTAAAGGGAACCCAAAAATATCTTTTGCCTCGACCTTTAATCTTGATAATATCAGCCGTGGCGTAAAGTGCTGGCAGTTATAATCAGTAGCTGGCCTAGGCCACGCCCCCCCCTCTCTGGACGGTGCAAATACGAGCTAGCACCGACCAGAGCAAGGTAACACGAATCCAACCAGTCCGTGTTGGGTTTTTGCGTTTTCAGCCTGCTATGAACGCCGTACTGATTTTGCAGGAATAAGTGTTGGTTTGTCGTCACGTTTTCTTAGGGGACAAAATCCTCATAAAGTATGGGAAATTGGAATTTGAATTTTGAGAGAGAATTTAGAGATAACATTATGAGAATTTGAAATTTGCATAGAAGAATTTGAGAAGTGGTTGAAAATGTCGATTTTATCAGAAGGCTTTTTTTCAGTAGAACAATGCTTTATGATTTAGTATAAATTCTTAATCATTAGAAAGTTAGAAGAGTTTTTATTTGGAAAACGGTTAGAACCAATAGCACCAAGCAGTTTACAAAAATACACTAAACTTGTACTACAATGGTTTAATAAAAAAATAAGACCTTAAAACTAATTAACAAAAATAAAACAACAATTTACAGAATATTAGAAATGCATTCCTATGCCCTTCAACATCGGCAAGTCTTTGGTGGAATCAATCCTGCTCTATTCATCCTCCGCAAATAGTTCCTCTCTTTTTTGTCTGAAATCTTTTGCACGTCTATAATTACCACCGTGTTTGGGTGCTTTGTCATCGAGAATTGAAGATTTTGCTTCATCACTGATAAATTCTACATCTTCGTCCGGGTTTCGTTTGGTTCTGGCTAAATTTTGTCTAAGAACTTTCTGTGATTCATCTGGATTTATTTTGGTCTTTTCGCTTTGTTGACTTTCATTACCATTGCTTTCAAGTTCTTTTGATTGTCCCGCATGGTTCAGGTCCCAGTAATGTTCGCCATATCCCCCGTTTTTATCTCCCCATCTTACCTGCAACATTTGCATTATGTTTTTATTGGAGAACAATTAGTTTTAGGACTATGCAAAGAATTTTTTTTTCAATATTTACAATAAATGTTAATAATGAAGCAAAAGCAAGCTCAATTACTTTATATTTGAACTCTCCGTGATGAGGATGGCTCTTTTCATATCTATTACAAATATTGCTAGGAAGCAAATGAAGATAGATGATGTGCAGACATTTATAACAAAAAATAGCTACATGCATTACCTTTCCTTGATGGTTCAAGTTTTCCAAGTTTATTTTCTCAAATCTCTGCTCCCAGTTCTTTGGGTTTTCTGCTACGTGACCGAATTCGATCTCCTTTGGGTTATTTTGTGCCACATACATGTCCCTAAATAAAAAACAACATTTGAGGTCTGCGATTGAATATTTTGCCTTTAATTGAATGTTATAATTTTTGCATTAAAAAAATAACAAAAGTTTGGGCTCAACCGGGATTTGAACCCGGGACCTCTCGCACCCAAAGCGAGAATCATACCCCTAGACCATTGAGCCGCCATGTATAAATTCACAGAAATTTATAATAAAAAGTGTGGCCCAGATTAAAGATGTATTTGCTAATTTTAGTGTTGTAATCTTCAGAAAATGTTTTGTACATGTTGCTGTATATGACATAAAATATTGCGTATACCCACATATGATCTTTATTTCTCAATAGGCTATCCACCTATCGACGTCATTCTGCCAATATTGCGTATTTTATATGGAAGCGTACTTTTTCAAAACTATTATATGCATATGGAATAATTAGATTTACTTTTTTTTCGGTAAAAATATATTTGTGGAAAAACTGCAAAATATGTCCACAAGTGGTGCAATGAGGTAAATAAGTTTACGCTTTATTATTGATTATTTTTTAAGTTTTTCCCATATATCTTGCGAAACAAGATACTTTTTATGCAAAATGTAGGATACCATTTTCCTTTTGCTATTTAACCATTGACTGACAATTTAATATAAATATACGTATAT